ATTTATATATGCCAGTGTCCATGTCTGCATGTCTGCATGCGTGTAAGAGTGCACAGGGCAAGGGATGATCGCGCGATGGCTCAGTCCGCGCCAACGGTGTAAAACACGCTAAAGTTTGCGCGCGCACGCATCACGTGTACGTACATGTATATTTGCTACTATACCCACTGACACAGTCCGCTCTTTCTCTCTCTCTCTGCCGGACAGGCGATACATAAATTATTTTCCAAATAATTAAACGCGATAAATTCTATAATATTATCCGCGAACTCTTGTGCGCCGCGTGAATTAATGAGCTCTGCTGCTGCTCGGCTGTATAACACGGTGTTTCCGAAATCACGATAATAATGCCCGGCGCTCGCGCGACACACGGCTATTATATATGCACAAAAAAGAAGTTTTTTTAACACTTGCGCAAATTGTTATATAATGACACATGTATTAATTTCTCCGAGTTTACGAGCGTATTCGCTCGAATAATCATTGTCTTTGCCTCGCGTTCTATATACGAGTATACTGATTTTTTATCTTTTTTCCTCTTTTTTTTCCTTTTTTTCGTTGTTTTGTTTCCGCGAGTGCGTCGCATAACTAATGAGTTGGAAGATTGGATCGAATCGTTGGGCTTTCGATTGCGATTGTGGGTCTGTATATCACTGTTATTATTATTTATATATCATTCATAAACGCGTCTAAAATTACATACGTGTACCGTAGCGATTGCTAGTGGGTTATCGAAAGACCCGCACGCAGGATCTGTAATATACAATAGTAAATTCAGGATGAGGATGTTTAGACGACTTCAAGTTATATGCACACCGTGTTACGACCAAATTTCTTAGCTTTATTAAGAAAATTCACCGTGGCAATCCGAGATTGCTCGACGTTAAGCGTAGCACACTAAAAGAAAGAGCGCGAATAAAACGTTACGTGCAAAAAGGCACGCGTACTATGCTGTATAATACGAGAATATTTTAAACCATTGCACAAGCTCGAGTCTCGCTTCATTATGTATATATTTTTTTGCTTCTTCCTCTAATTACGACGCGCGAGGCAGGAATTTTCGAATGTGTATAGTATAAACGTCGCCAGTAAAAGTGACACGCTAGAATTAGCGCGACGCGTGCAGATATTGCCACCGACACACGATGCCGATATTATTAAGTATATATAATACCTATATTATGCCATATACCGGTAGCTGCCATAAGTAATCGGTACGATACACACTGGTAAGCTCGTGTGGAGCGCAGCCGAAGTGCAGCAGATAGCGCAGCGGCGTGAAAAGACACGAGCAGCCGAGATTCCACGGGCTATATTACCCTATTACGACTCATTTTCTTCTTTTTTTTTTGCTCGTCGCCTTATCGGCGTGACGACGAGCGACCATTATTTATAAGTACGTGTATTTTCATTGTTTCCGACGATCGAACGTGTATACGTACATGCGATATAAGTGCAAAATTTGTCGCAAGTGTAGCGAAACGCTCGAGTGTGTAAGTGAGCGACTGCGACGTAGCCGACACGTGACTACATAAATTTTTCAATTACGCGCTTGAAATATGCACGTTTTACAACTCCTTACTTATATACCCACACACACGAGCTTGGAAAAATGATATATATCTCGCGCTCGACTGCGGCCCGCATATTACACACACACATACACACTTAATATGGAGAAAAATGAATGCAAAAATATAAAGAAAAAATGAGGTAATACGACGACTATATTCTCGTATTCGTCAAACGAGAAGAGCCGTTATTATAAGAATTTGTTTTCGCGTCTCGTTTTCTCGCTTTCGAGACGCTGTTCTAGGCAGAAAAAAAATCGTCGGCTCTCCTGATACACACGTACACACATAACGACTCATCGTTTGTATACACACGTACACATTTGGCATTTGTGTGTAAATTGCACGGGCTCATTTTTTTCTGCGTCTTATCTTTTTATTTTTGCGCTTATAGTTCCTTTTACTCGCTCACGGTATATTAAACATACACCGATTTTGAAAAGATTCGCGAATCGATATCGCAAGTTCGATAATATTTGGCCGAATTATTATTTTTTTTTTTGCGAAATGACGAAGAGCAAACGACAAACGTTATACTCGTGTGCGCGCATGCAGGTAACTAATGTACACACGACGAATCAATGACGGAACAGAATGAAGAAGAAGATAGTGTGTAGAAGAAGACGCGCGTATTTAAACAAGTGCGCGCGTTTTCTGCTCCGGTGGGTGGATCTCTCTCGCGAGCGAAACGTGTGGAGTTCTCTCTAACGCTTTGATAGATATATATAGACATAGTAGTGGCAGTTGTAGTATGCCAACGTGCAGAACTATCTGCGCGAATTCGAGCTATAACCTTAAAATAGCGCTGGAATGGCAGAGCCGAGATTTTCGACCCATGTCCATGAGACGTTTATTGTGTAATGTAAAATTGACAATTCGCTCCAACTCGAGCTTGCACACATTTTCTAGAGCGATTTAATGTACACACACAGCTCGATCGATTAGTCGTGGACACAATATCAAAATATCCTGCAGTAGAAGCTGATATATCTGCGAATGCCAAGTGCAAAACGGTGTAGCGAGTCGTTGAAATGGTAGGGTTGAATATCGAGCAAAAAAAAAGAATGAAAGAATAATAGTAGAATCGCGAGACGAGTTCAAAATTTTCCCCGACAGAATGACCCTGAATCGCTACCTTACACATACATAAGATAATATAGGTGCATGTAGACACAGCAGCGGCGGCGGTAGCGGCTGCAGCACACGGGTGCACCTTTGCACGCATACACACGAAAACGCACTGCATGTGTATGTGCATGTGTATTACCTACATATGCATGCCTCGGTGCTGCTACTCGCATGCTCTCGACTCAGCCGAGTCTGGCGCTGCACATGTGTAGTATGCACCCACACACAAACACACGCGTGTATGCATGTACGTACACACACAGTCGCACGGCACACACGCATAGGTAGGTAGTATGCACAAAAGCGGAGCGCGAGCAGCGCGCCGAAAATCGATCCGGCGTGTTTAGCCTACATATATATATCCTTTTTGCACTTAAATGTGAACACACCACGCGCCGCAGAGAGCGACAAGACTCTCCGAGACTCTTTTATAGGTGCGAATTATATTTCGCCGAAATTTCATATACAAATTTATGGATGTTACTTACATTTTGACAGGATAAAAACTTCATCAGCTGCTTCGGCGTGAATGTATGCGTGCGTACTCGCTGCTGCTGTACGTATCGGGATGCACAATCGTCGATGCCAGTCTCAAATCCTTTTATTATTCTCAATTATATATCTTGTTCGTATCTCGTATCGCTGATTTTTTTTTGCCTTCGAACACGCGCACCAAATTTGAAAAAACAGAACGTGAAAAATCTCTGCGAAAGAATTTCAGAAACAGCAGCACATCGCAGACTTGCGCGGTGTGCGGCGAGATGGAAACGTATATATGTATAGCGCAGAGGCAGTTGTAACATGTATTTTATAGCCACACTTGCACTGCACCCGTAGTATAAACTATATGATGCGATAGTGAAATACGGCAACTGCACGGCAGATTAGCGAGTGAAAAACTAAATGTGTATAAAAGATTCGCAGTCAACGGTGGCGGCGATATATAATACGGAGGCAGCTGCAGCAAAAGCGGCAGCAAGTAGTAAAACGACAACGGCGACGACGACTTGATTTTCTGCGCCAAGCCCCTTATCTCCCTCCTCTCCTTTTTTTATTCCTGCTCTCTTACTCTCTCTTTCTAGCGCTACGTATGGTTTGGCACTGCTGATTTGCTCGTTGTTTATTCTATCTCTCTCTTTCGTGCTCTCGCTCTCTCACAACTTTAACTCGGATTTTGCGCGCGATATATATATCTGCTGTAGCCTGTATGTATTGGCCTGTCGTTTTAACGCACGTTTGGCCGCACGCGGAGTACACATGCGTTATGTGTTCTTCGTCGCGGAGTCGACCGAACGCAAAACGAGGTGAAACGACGTAAGATCGCCGTTGTATGATCACTTGTGTGTACACAGCAGTAGCACAGCTCGCACACGAGTCGACGAAAAGTAGGTTTCTTGACAAAATACGAAAAAAAAAATAAATAAATCACAACTTGTAATATCTGCGACGACTCGGGTCCGACTGTCCTCCTTATTACATAGCCAGGCACTTCTTTTTCTTCTTCTTCAAAACAATGATGCACGGCTACGATCGATTTGATGAAGTCTTACGAAGTCATAGCACGCCTACATTTACTATTATGGAATATGGCTCGCACTGCGGGTCCAAGTGCAGACTCGTTCTGCTGCTGCTGCTGCTGCTGCTGTGCCGTTGCATTTTCCGCACACTCCGATTATTACGTGCGTCTGTGTATGCGAATAATAACTGCACAACTCGTAATAAAGTACGTTACGATACCCGAAATTTCTTCGCTCGCGCGTTCCTTCTTTCTTGGAATCAGATTGGGCACTCGCTCGATACACGGCGAAACGTCACTTTGAAATTACGCATTGACACATGTCACTTTATTGAGTGTTACGAATTGACGTTGAAAGAAAGAGAGACAGAGACACACACGGAGATTACTTGACTCGCTTGGCAACTTCTCTGCCAGTTTGCACGATGCTGTGTGCGTATAGATGTGTACTATACTCTTTGCTGGTTTTACGATCTCTGCGTGTATTTGCAATGTCATATATATGCATAAATGCCTACATGTGTATGTGTTTATATGGCTTGAATGGGGATCATATCCCAGCATGCAGTTCTGTCTCCTTCTGCGTGCAACTGCGCTGCTTAGCTTTTTTGCGCGATCGAACGCCTAACGACATCTAACGGATTCCGGTTTGAAAATTCGCACTCGCTGCAGTTGCCTGCATTTGGAACATTTGAAGATTTTATTTTTGGAGAAATTTTTAATTAAAACGACGTTTCGTCGTAACTGGTAATGAACAAATTAATGAAAGAAAAAAACATTGATCATCGATTTATGTTCCAAGAATTCATTTTTTCTATATAACAATTACATGATTTTAATAATTTTATTACAATTCTTTTCTTCTGAAAAAGACTATTTCATTGAAATATTGCGTCAAGTCATTCAAATCGATCAAGAAAATCGGATTTTTGCAACTACATGAATTTAACGGGTTTCAACTTTTTATTGATCTGGTTTCACCTTTCCTGGTTTTGGAGTCTGTAAAAACATATCAAAAATTATTTGGCGTAAAAAACCAATGTTACTCCACAAAAAAAGGGAGATATATTGAGGATGATGGAAAAATTGAGGAAAGGAATGGTACCTATGCTTATCTCCAACCGAATAATTTTGTCTTTAACTTTGAAACGTTTTTAAGTTTTTCTTTGGCTATTTCGGAGTCTATTACTTCGACCAACTGCGTGTCAACGTCGTCCGGAAGAAAAGTGCAATCGTGAGTTGCGGTTGGCTCGACTACCGGAGCTACATCGTCTGTTTCTAGAAATTTCATAAGCTTTACAAATCGCTTCAATCCTTTGGATTCTTACGATGCGTCTATTTTTCAACGAATATATTTAAAAAACATTTCGATGCAGTGCATATGGGCACTTCAATAGAGATTAACGATCAAGTTATTTCAGGAAAGATTAGGACCAGGAGGTGGAGGGGAAAAATTGAATTATGAATTCCTCCTACCTCAGCAAAATCACTAAGTGTCTGAATCAATTTACTAGCTAGCGTACCAACAGCTGAAGCAGCTACACCAGCTACATCACCAGCTACCTCTGTCACCTCAGATAGATTTGTTGGTACTTTTGGTAGCTGTGGCCAAGAAATTTCCATTTGATTGGCATCTCCTGGTTTGACTGTGTAAAATATAGTGTTTGCATAATTAATAATTACTATAAAAATAAATGAAACTCAATGGATATTATGAGACGACCTACCACCATAGAAAAAGTTATATCCAACATTCATGTAATACTTTGCAAGGATCATTCCTTCTTGAGCTTGCTTAGGATAGCATATAGATGCAACAATGAGAGCTCCTGTAGTTGAATAAACTAATTTTTTAAATTTGCCTCCACGTAGACCTAATATCAATCCAGATAAACCACCGACACCTACTGCTCCAATTCGAGGCAACACATTTGTTTCTTCTCTGAGCATTTCCAATGTCACTATAAGAAATAATTACATCATAATATAAAGGAGATATTATTAATGTAATGTACTTTTGAATGAAATGATATATATACTTTGACTATGGGCTTTGCCTGTTTCAATTGTATTGCTAACGACACTTGTGTAGCTTGAAAATTGATGAAGAAACTCTTGCACAGACTTCCGTACTACACCAAAATTTTCTTCTAGAATATTAGGTTTTGTTTGGCTAAAAAATATATTTTTATAAAATAAACATTATAATTTTGAGAAAAATTAACAAACACTATTACTAAATAAGTGCTCAATTTAGTAATAGTATTTTAATGAATCTATAACAAGTCTATGAAAATTACTTGCTCTTTACCATTGGACTGCCTTAGGTGTATCTATTGGTTCAAATTTGTAAATTGGAAGTTCTGATGGTCGAACCAATGTTTTTTGCTCATTTTGGACTTTGTCTGGTGTTTGACCAGGTTTAAACACTGGCACTGCAGCACAGAGACCACAAGGCATGAAGAATTTCTTGAACAACTTTAAAAACAAAATACAAATTGAAATTTCATCTTATGTGATATCTTAGATGTATAAAATAGTATCTATTTATATAAAAATTATCAACTTTACATGAGAAGCAAATAACACTTTTAAGTTAATAAATCAACATGTGGAATTAAACATTTAGTAATATTTAAATGCAGTTTTAAGTTTAACAAGGAACTTTAGGTTAGGTACATGGTAGAAGGTAATTTCAAGGTTATTATTACCGTCATTCTGTTCGTCGTGATAAGATTCACTTATTATTAACAATTAATTCGCTTAGAACATGTCGAGGGTTCGGATTATTATGAGTACCTTGACAAGTGGTACATAATCGAATAAAAACTAATGGTCTAAGTCGATTTCGGAGATCGACTGCCAATCTATGAAACGATGAGCAGAAACCTTGTGACATCTGACAAAGATGCCTTTTAATTTTGTGCGCGAAAATCAAATTCTCATGTAAAGATGTTAATGATAAACTTATTAATAAAGTCGAGTACTTACGTCTGATTGCCTCATCGCAGAAATTTGATCACAGTAAAAACACTTTTAATGATCTTGTGAAGTCGTGTTCAACAAAATCGTTAAAAAAAAAAAAAAAAACGAATATATCGTGTATCAAAATATTTTTATTACGTTTGACAAACTCGATATGCCAATAGAGCAAACGATATTTGAAAGAAAATTAAGCCCCACGTAAACACGTCTCAACGCTACAAATGTCAGTTTAGTTGTCATGCCTATGGCTAAAATCGATATACTTACGCGTATGTTGGTTCTTCCGATTTCAGTCAATACACCGGGTTGATACCGATCACATCTGTGTACGCGTTCCCTGCAAGTAATGTCCTTACCGAAAATCTCGCCAATCGTTGATTCCAGAATTGCGTGAACCAGATCTCGCATTTTTTACGGATTTTTTTTTGAAAATGTTTACAATTATATTGTCGAAAAAAAGTATTGGAATAATTTTTAGGTTTCGGGGAAGGGCTTGAAGTTGTGTCCAAGAGAGGTTGAAGAAAAAAAAACAGAATTTATTGATTGTAACTTAAAAACAAATTTTATCTCTTACTTACTAGTATGCAAGTAATTTGTACAAAATTAATTATTAGCTAAAGATTTACAGGTAAATTTGACATAAATGAAAAAGCTCATTTCATCTACGCTTCTCTTTAAATTTATATTCAATCCAAAAACGCATATGTACATCAATTATAAAAAATTTTTAATATAGATTTTCGGATTTAAGAAATACCATAATTGTCATTGACGATGGAAATCTTCATTTCTAGTACAGATATAGTATTGTGCAATTTTCATTCGAATTATTGCTCAGGAATTAAACATAATTTCATAGTGATTGAATGCGTCAACTCATTTTATAAATACATCCGAATGATGTGAGATTCAAAACACGTTCCAAATTATTTATCCAAACCTAATTGAACATTTAAGTGAGTATAATAGCGTATTACAGTACCGGTTGAATTTTTCTATTATAAGTTTAATATAATATACACGATGCAAATTTTTACAGCACTTTTACTTAATTACTCATAATTTACAGTATTATTTCAAAAATGACGAATCAACAATTAAAGCAGCATCTTAATTTAATTGAATATTCATCAGAAATCTGAAATACCTCCTTAAAATTTTAATAATTACAAATTTGATCAAGTCTTTGTGAATATAATACAATTGATGTTTTTGTGACATATAAAAAGCTAATGATTTATATGAAATTAGTGCATAAAAACAATGTGACGAGGCAATACCTGCATAGAACACAATCTGTTTACCTCATAATAAGAATAAATATTAGCTAAATTTTACAACAAGTAAAATATTTATAATTAAATTATTAATAAATAGAACTTTAATATCTACTGAACATGATTCATTCAGTATAATTTCATGGCAATTAAGTTGAATGGTACCATAAAAACATCTTTCTAAAGAACGATTGTAGTAACTAAGTTTAGAATCAACCTATAACAATATGTCAATTCACAATTTTAAAAAAATTCACGCCGTGAAAATTTTAAAACTTAATTGTCAAACTATTAAATTAAAAGCTACCATTTGAAGCTAGGGGAGTGATTCACAAGCTTGGTTCAGAAGAGTTTGGCTTTTGAACTGTTCCTTGACGTTGAACTCTTTGACGGTAATTATCTAAAGTCGACTGTATCGTTTTATCGGAGTATCGACAATTATCTGAACCACAAGTGCAAGTAAAAGATTTACATTTTATGATCCAGAATTTCTCCCCGTAGTCGAATCTGTAATTTAAATAACAAAATAATTATATTATATAACTAAAAGCAGATTGCTGTTCCCTGGATCAACTTTCCAACTCACAACTACTTCTTAAATCTTATACTAGCCCTATTCATTATTGTTATCATCACGTGATAGAAAAATAAATTCTTTCTTCACAAATAAAATCTTTCTTGAAAAATAAAATCTAATGATATAAAAAAAAAAAAAAAAAAATTAAAACAGCTAATTTTTTCAATAATAAAGCAAAAAGAAAAACGTATACAATGTTATTTAAAACTTACCCTAATTCTTCATCAGCTTCTATGTCTCTACTTGCGAAGAGTGCTATTCGTGGGAAACGCAGATCCTGATGTTCGATGAAAACTCGTACTGATAGTAAATTTGGGGAGCAAGAGTGATTAATAAAACGGGCAATGTTTCCATACCGTCGAGCATCTATGCAGTAAGTCTCTCCATCCTTTGTGAGAAAAAAAATAAAATTTTCATATTTTACAAAATGATCATTTTAACTTTTTTATACTTAATGTAAAGTAAATTGTACTTACCCGATTTTCTAAATCAAATAGATAAGAATCATCTTCTCTGCTATCAGCTTCCGAGTCTGGAATTATTTCTCCGACATACTCGCAAACATATGTTCCTTTGGCAATGGGTTTAAGTGTTCGTAAACCCCATCCTTTTCCTTCTTCTGTTCTAAATAATTGGAATCGTTGGGATGTTCCGTGTTGCACAACACGGTTATGACAAAGAATTCTGTTGCAATCACACGCCTGATTACATTCAAACAGCATAGGAGGATCTTTAAATGAAAGAAAAAAAATAATTTTAATAATTCTAATTTTAAAATTTCATATTTTACTAGAAATTTTCTCTTACCAGCAAAGTTGAACTCGGGTATAAGCTTTCCTTGTTCGTCATACCAACAGCGTAAACTTATAGTTCCGCAGAGACATGTTTCCGAGCTACAATTATTTTCACAGCGACACGATTGAAGAGATGTTATTGTTCTGTCAACGTTAACAGAGCTGGTGAAACAGTTTTCAGTAACATATACAAAGTCCGTGGGTATATCTTCATAATCAATACCGTTGACGCACTGAATAGGGTTACGTTCTTTTCCTCTAGTAATATCACTGAAGAACAAAAAAAATTATTTTAAATTACCACTCTATCTAATGTAACTATATTTTGCTGAAAAATTTACTACTTACTTTGTTAAAATCTTAACAGTTTTTTCCATCAATTGTTCGGCTCGTTGATTGACTCTAAAATTCAATCGCAGGGCTCTCAAAGTGTCACCATCAACGGTACAACAATCAATCGCTGTTTCTTTGTTGTTATTGACCTCGTTCACTTTGGCTCCTCTTGATAAAAGAAGTACACTGACAGCGTATCTATCTTGACGTGCCGCAATGTGGCTACAGTTAAAACAATCACATGTCAAATTTGTTGAAATAAAATTTCAATGGAAATAAAGAAAGTATGTACTTACAGTGGAGTGTCACCGTGAACATTGACCGCATTGACATCGCTTCCCAAATCGAGTAATAACTCTGTAATTTCAGAACAACCGCTGTACGCACTCCAATGAAGAGCAATGTTTTGTTCATTATCACGGATCAAAGGATCACATTTGCACTCTAGTAAAAAGCGAGCTACTTCTGTATGTCGAAACTCGCATGCCCAGATTAAGCCAGTCCAACCTCCGTCATCAACAGAATCTGGAAATATTAAAATTTAGGATTATTAGAAATCTTTCATGATTGCAAAGAGCAAGTGAATTAAAAAAATACGAACCAACAAGGGATCTGGGCACTTTACATTCGCTATGAATTACTTTACAAACTTCCAAGTGACCAGATTTTGCCGCCATATGCAAAGCAGTCATGCCATCTTCGCCTCTCAGAGTTGAATCGCTGCCGGTCCTTATTAAGTACCGAACTACATCAGCATTGCCTGAAACGGCAGCTAGCATTAAGGGAGTTGATTGATTTCTGTCAAACACATCAACTTGAGCGCCAGCTTGCACAAGAACATGGACAGAGCTCAAAGAACCGCTCTCAGCGGCCATGTGCAATGCAGTACGATGACCTTGATCTCTGAACACATGATTGGGGTTGAAGCCATTGGCCAATACATTGACCAATTTCTGCAGATCATTTTCCTTCACGGCATTCAATAAACACAAATGCGTAAAACGCTCAGTCTTTTCGCTGACTTCTGATTCCGGAATCTGGATAAGCTTAGGATCAATGAGTGGTTCGATCGATTTCTTCTTTACAGGCATTTCTGCAAGTTTCGTGTTATCAGCTTTGCCTGGAATTATCATCTTTGCTCTTCCATCTTTCAGTTTACAAGAATTTGTTAGGTTTTGTAATTTAGATCCCATAGTGATGATTACATCGACGCAGCGATCGTCGTTTTCACAGTGAGGACAGTGCGATTTATTGTCGAGTATCAATTCGCAATGTCGATGATACTGATGTCCATACGGACAGTGGACAAATTTACCTTGAGAGCAAAATTGACCACATGTTGGACAGCAGTTGTGTCTGATGAGTCTTTCTTTATGCGTGCGGCAAAGTATTATGTATGGTATTTTAGCACTTGGTCTTCGCATGGCTACATCTTCGCGATCCACTTCGTTACCACAACCAACAATTCGGTTATCAATAGAATCCAAGGCAGTACAGTGCAATGGTGTATCTGCCGTGGTAATTGTCACAAATAATTGCGAACGAACTTCGCACAAACATTTCAAATCCAGCTTCTGAAGAATACATTTAAAATATTTAATTATAAAATAACATCGATATGAATATTTAATTGTAATTGATAATCAAGTACTAACCGATTTCAACATTTTAGTTTTTGTAACTGATGTTGAGTCAGTTGTTGATGCAAAACTTTCAGCAATAGCCGGGGTAAGTATCAGACTTCTTCGTGGTTTTTTTATAGGTATTGTACTTCCTTCGTCATCTTGCTCAACTTTATTGGTTTCAACAGCTTGTTTTGCGTTTTCTAAAGATTAAGAGTAAAGTAATTTTAACATTTAATACTTAAAACACTTTGATATTATCAACTTTTTCAAATCTTACCATCTAAAATATTGGTATAAACCATTTTTTTGGCACTCGCTGATGGTCTTATACGGATCTGACCATTTTTACTTCTGATGATGGTTGGTCTTGAGAATGATCCATTGAAATTTTTTAATAAAGAAACAGCATGAACTGTTTTCTCACTTGTTGTAAAAGCAAACTTTTTACCACTATCTTGAGTTTTAACAATGGGTGTCAGCTTGGGCATTCCTTCATATTTGTTCAATTTCTGGGAATCACTTTTACAGTGCATGAAATTACTTACAGGTATGATGGTTCTTACAGTATTCAAAGGACACAGCTTTGGAAGAGAATTTTTCTTATCTAGACTTATTTTGGGAGCCAATGGTTTCAATTTAGGAATTTCATCTTTTTTGTCGTAGGCTGATTTTAACAGAGATTCTTTTGCTTCTGGAATTACTTTTGCTGTTGTTTTCTCCACTTTATTTGTTATTTTATCATTTTTAACTTCAGGCAATTGTTCAGAAATTTCCATTGGAATTGCTTTAATGGTTTCAATGGGTTTTAACTTAGGAATATTATCTTTTTTTTCTGGTGGTGATTTACCTTTAACAAGTTCTCCAAAAGAGAAAGATTTTATTATTGTTGATTTGGGACTGCTATCTTTAGAAGCAATTTTGCTTGGTTCTTTGTTATTCTCTGTTAATTCAGAACTGGGTCTTTTGACTAATTTTAGCCCAATTGCCTTTTTTGTCAATACTTTAGAAACGTTATCCTTTGGAGAATTCTTAGGCAAATCTTTTTTTGGTTCCACAGATTTAGGTATGTCTTTAGGGGGAGTACCTTTTTTAACAGAAATTTTTGATGTTTCTATGGGGGTTAGTGGAGGCATGTTGTTCTTTTTATCTAAATTTTCAGCAACAATTTTTTTGGGCCGCCCTGGTTTACTGTACTTGCGCTTTACTGTATCCTCACTAAGATTGAATTTTTCTTTCATAGCCATAGCACTTTCCAAGACAGATTTAGAAGAATTTGATCTTCTAGCTGATCTTTTCAATTCTGGTTCGATACTGAAAACAATGAGAATAATTAGAGACTGCAAAAAAAAATTTTTGAAAGCTGAATATTATTTATGATTTACCTGGAATCTCTCTGACGTTTCATTCTTCGCTTTACAGGTGGAGGCGTCATTGATTCAGACTCTTTTGAAGATTCATCAATCACTGCATTCAAAGCTCGATTCTCTGCTTTGCTTTCGGGAGAACTTTTAACTGCTTCACTATCACTTTTACCACCATTTTCCACTTTATTTTTATCATCTTGTTCACGATTGACTTCAGATTTATTATCATCACTACTATGCTCATCAGAATTTTCAATTTTTACTGACACTCCACCAATTTGATCACAATTATTTAGTTCATCTGGCACAAGTGACAAATTTGAAGTACTAGAGATTTTAGTTTTTTTACCATGATCAGTATTTTCATCAATAGTTCTAAAAGTAAGTACAATGCGATGAGCATTCCCATCTTTTTTAGGACTATCTTTTTTAACAGCTGTGTCTGATTTTGTACCCATTTCTTCACTTTTATTCTTTTCTACCTTCTTTTCAGGAATATTTTCTTTGATTACTTTAGTTTCTTCAGTTTGATTCAAAGATTTATTAAATCTGTTTGTTTTATTATTCTCTTCCAACGATTTGGAAGGTGATTTAGAAGGTGATTTCTCTTGCTTTCGAGCACCAGGTTCAATTCGACTGGATCTTCTAGTCGGTGATTCTGCAGGCTTTTTGGGCCCAGACTTATTGAATTCATTAGTCATACCTTCTAAAATCTGTGCAAGATTCAAATCATCTTCAGCATTTTGTTTTTGAGACACTTTGCTGACACTATCTTTGCGTTTAGACTCAGACATGATTAAACGAAACTATTGAGCTACATTTACTAAAGTATCGTCATTGATCTGTAAAAATATAAAGATAAAAAAATTCATGAGATAGTTGAAAAAATATTAAATAAATAATTTATATTAATAAAGTATGAAATTATTTTTTTATAAATTAAAAAGAGAAGCTGGACTTAAAAATCTAATAAATTCAATTGAACATCAATTTTGAATTTGGCTAGTATTTTTACCATTATATATGTTGGATGTTTGTGGTACAAAGAAACCTAACCAGTAAATTGGACTCATTATATGAATAGTTTTTAAAGTTAATACCATCGTTGGTACAATTCTTTTATATTCAATGAAAGCAAAAATAAATATTTTACACCTACTCACAATATAAACTCTGAGTTATCAAGTAATTATGAAGAATATATTGAAATAATAAAAATGACACAGCTTTCTGTATACCTGCTGTCATGAACTTTTAGAGTATATAAAACTGATTATACATCTAATTGAACTGCTGTTTGATTATGAAAAATTAATTATAAAATAATAAAATTGTATGAAAATTACCGTCTATCGCGAACATTACATCAATTTTTCCTTAATTCATAAATTAAAAGTGACCGACGTTAGAGTTTGTATTCTGATATAACTGTGCCTTATGCGACTATGAGCAACAACAGTAATGGCCAGTATAGCAGCACACCTTACCTATCTCAAACAATTAACTTATTGGCGAGTAACTTTGATCGTCACTAATTAATGCATAACACTACAACTTGGAGTCAACAATTATAATGCAACGAGTACGCGACCGACGAGAGAAACGTCTTCTTGTAGGAGCAAAGGAATCGCATCCCCCAAGATATTATAAGGTACAACAACGTACATACTCCCCGTTACGAGCGAGAAAGAGAGAGCCACCAATCTCTCCGATTCCACCCGAGTGCTGAGCGCGTTCAATCGGTAAATTTTAGTTGAAAAAAGCAAAAATTACCTTGGAAATGTGCAGGGGCGCTATCGCGACACTCGCCGGCCCACTTCGGCGATGCTTGCGAGAATATGCACGGGCGAATACAATCACAAAACCCGGATGAGCTTCCGATTTGCCGCTGCTACTACAACCTCTATATAGGTATACGACTCGTGGTACGAGTGTATTTTCAATACATTGACACACGTGAGAGACGCGAGTGGAGACTCCACGAGCGGCGAGGCCCTCACTTCGGTTAGCGGCAACTTTACGTAGCCCCGCGTCAATTCAACCCGATAAACTAGCGGTATTATCGGTCTTCCCGACCAGCTGACGACTCATTCGTGGATGTAAAAAACTTACCGATCGAACAGCATCCACCGTGAACAATTTGTTGCAACTGTCAAAAATCACAATAATTACGGAAGTAAAAGTTGCAGCGTACAGTTTAACAGGAAGACAGAGTGTGTATGTGTGGGATCCCATGTGTCCATGTGCACATGTACGTGAAAGCGAAGAACGCCATTTTGATTGCGCGGAGACCAGTGCGCGCATGTGTTTCCATCTCTCTCTCTGTTATTCTCTTCTCTCTCTCTCTCTTTCTTCCTTTCTCTGCTTTGAGTCCGGGGCAGCATCGTAATGCCGCACATGGCGCCACTCCAAACATGCTCATTTCCCATTGTAATATGCTCCTGCTCTATCGACTATGACAGCCATGGACGATGAGCCGATTGAGTCGTAGGCTATTCTGTGCGGGGGGCCTTGATAACAAGCAAATTTGAACCCTCTCCGATGATCGGTATAACGAACAGATTTTCAATCTGTGCCGAGTTGCGTCTACATTGCAGATCTCGATAAGAATCGAGTCCCTCGTCATAACGATTTCTCCGTCAACGAACGCGAAAAGCGATTGCCATTGTGTGCAGTGATTTTTGCCCGATATGATATCGACGCTCTGCATACGTAATGTCAAAGTCGAGGCACTATTTTGGCATCACAGATTCGCGAAACTGTCTCAACGACACGCTGAACAGCTAACTTTGCGAGTTGACGAGAAAAATGCAAAATGAAAGTTACGTAGCGGCGTTTCTGAGGTTATCGTGACTCGTTCACCGGCACGACTTGCACGAGGAACGACTGCGAAAAGAACGATCAAGTTGGATAAAAATAGAGGGATAATCGCGATCGTTCGCATTGCCAATCTCATCTATATAGATAATGCAAAACCAAAACTCATACACACGCAACGACAATAAAGAAGACCAACAGTGGTTGCATCAAAGCAAGGGGGACACACGCACACCCATAGGATAACTTTCATCACAATAATGGATGATTGGTTATTCCAATGATTCTTAATAAAACAATTGTCATTATTGAATATTATAAAGTAATTGTAATATTTATTGAAATAACTAATCATTCACCTATACTGGCATGGTTATCCTATATGTGGGATCATTGATGAACGTTTGGGTCTGATGTGCAATTGGCCTGTTCATTATAGCGGCGCACGCCAGTAGTACGCAGCTGATCGCATAGCACACATAGACGCAGCACCACGAGAATTAGCGTACAAAATACAACATCGCAAATAGCACCGCCTGACGTTACATATAGACATATAACACGCATTAAACGACTCCTAAATATATATACACAAATATACGGTAGATTACATTATTGCGTAATGACAAGTGTGCGAGCAAGAGAGAGAAAGAAAGAGCAGAGCAATATGACATATAGTAATATTACAATACAATACTGGGAACTCGGTAACCCATACAAGTTCTTCGGAACAAAAAAAAAGTTTCAACATAAGTAAATAAATGCTTGTGAATTTGACAGATGCCCCCGTTCTATGTTAGATATAAGCTATCAATGTCCGAGGCCGCAAGATGACACGGCGATGCTTGTGTTTATAGGGAGGCGAAAAATCGTTTAATGGTGCAATTTTCAAAGCTAATAGCAAAAAATTAACGATCGTTACGATGAACGAAGAAACACTCAATGCCTCGACAAATAATCTCTCGCATTTCTCGTAATGCGTTGCAACGAGTACGGCACGCAGCTTGTAATTCCGAGTTTACACGAGTTGTACCTAGCCCAACTATCCTATGACAATATCTCGGATGACAATACGTTCGTTAATGAACATTTTGCTGCGAACCGATTAGAAATGTTTAAATAATTGATCCATAACTCGATCGTTATCGTCGGGTTGTTTATTAACAAAGAATAAGTACGGAAAACAGTAAGAAAATAACGTATTGATTTTCTCTCGTGACACTCGTACAGGACTCGAAACAAGCCACATTGGTAGCGATATATCGACTGTTATGCGTCGATCTTTTGACGTAATCGGTATGCATAATCGTTAAATTTATATTTTTCAAGTACATAACAACATTTTTTATCCCAATAAGGTAGTTTATTAGCTAAAAATTGTAAAATGAAGCGTATCTTTTTTAAGCATCCAGTGGCTTATAGGTTAAGTTTATACTTCACAGTAACGTTATAAGGCCACTACTCACCGAACTCGAATACAAAGGTTTTTCCGATTTTAAGAATTCCAACGTGATTAAATAAAGATGATGAGGTAATTTATTAATAATAAATTGATGTTAATTGTGAAAATATGAACGAAGATGTTCCTCTTACCTTGTACGCGAGTTGAAGATGCGAGACGTGTTTTTTGAAGGTAGACTGATGGGTCCCGACGCGTTGCTACACTATAAGTGTGGTGCACGTTATAGCAGCGGCGCGCTGGTACTTTGGATAGATTACTCATACAACCCCGACGGCTCCTTCCGGCTTGCTGAAAATGCACCCCCTGAAGTTGAATTTCAACGATGCTTCTCCTGCAATTTTTGTATTCTAAAACTGGAATGATCGAGTTGCGATCGCTATATCTTCCGATATAAACCAAGTATAGGCGAGTGGAAGGGCGTAGTTTCCGCGTCTTCTTTGCAAGGCGAATGATTTTCGCAACAATAGCATGTTCGACAGTATCATACACGCTCAGGCCGTATCCGGTAAGTTTGAATTTTTTTATTTTTGCAACCCTCGATAACCGAACTCGGAAATTTGTTAGCTCTGGTAACGAAATTAAACGAGAAACGACATTAAAATATGAATAGATACTGATGCTAAGAAATTGATGCATTTGAGCAAACAATATTCTTTGATTAGTTTATTAATGTCTTCGTAATAACGGATAAGAATAATAAAAGTTAGGAATTGTTTGAAGGGTAGTAAAATGATTTACTCGGGAAATATATTTCAGATTCGTATAAATATAAGTTTATTTACATTGCAACGAATTCTTTCTCGTCGAAACTTGACGAGGGTTGCGTCATAGAAGGTTTATAGGGAGTGATTACACAATTAAATTATTAATTATTACGTCAATCAAATTGATAATTACAACGTTTGTCTAGCTTTTCAAAAGTTTGTTTTAGCGTGTCTTCTTTTACTGTTACCTTAATATTTAATATCGCTTCAAGGTACACATATCAACAGAAACAAAATTTACTTTTGCTTGTCACTTAAAGTGAGAGTATTGTAAAACATCACTCACCTGGGAATAATCATCGTATGCTCACATAGTAGCACTTTTCCCTCGATTACATTATTATAATTATTGTATATTTGACAGTCTATGGTACTTTAATGGTATTACTCATGAATTTATACATTTTCATAATTTTTCATTGCACAATAAAAACTTATTAACTAGCTTCAGATGAAACGCATCTCATGTGCGAAAATAGATAGGTCAATATACAAGCTAAATATCTGTTATTTAGAGTCAAAGTTTATCAAACGCTGAAATACGTTTTATGAAAATTCATTTACTTTTTGGATACTTACAGTTTGGTTAAAGTAATCCATCTAAGTAACTTGTTTACTGTTCAAGTAATTTAAAGGTCATTTTAGAACTTTGCCAAGTTATTTCAAATACATTTTTCTTTTAATTCTTGCAAGTATTCATAAAAATCTCAAGTTTTATTTGAATTATGCATGTAACATGCATCTTTATAAATTGCAACTGATGCATCTATATATGTTAAAGTATTTTTGTGTACAAATATGCATCGATATACACATATAAAGATGTCTTTAAAATTCATATAATCGAAGAGTTTTTCATCTTACAATATTTTCAATCAATAATATTGAGTTTTATATAATTAATATCGAAAGCCCATGCTTTGAAGCAAATATATTTATTTATTTTTTCTAAAACAACATTAGGATTTCATTCCAAGCGTTTGGCTAAAATTCATCGCATAAAGAATTTACATTAAAATCAATACTTTTCTAACAAACATTGATATATCATATTAAAATGAGGATCAAAAAGGCGTGGCAATTGATTGCGAGTAAAAAATTATCGTATTTTGCATAGCTAAACAACTAATAAACATCAACAATATTTATATTGGTAAGATTAGCATTAATAAATTTTAAAATTGCAACCAAGTGTGATATTTTGAGCAAAACAATCACAATTTAGAATGCTAAATTTTGTGTAAAAACGGCAAATATCAATTCTATACATAAAATTTTATTGGGATGCGCAAATAATAGGAATTATTTATTCATTTATAATAGGAACAGTTTACACTTTCAAAGGACTTGAAAAAACTCATTTTAGTTGTTTTTCTAATCTTTAGAAAAACATTTTTAGAACGCGCCATTTACAATCCATCAATTTTTTTTTATGTATGTGTACAATAATAGAAATATCATTTGTCGTTATACACATTTTGTTTTGTTTTGTTTTTTGTTTTTTTTTTATAACAAGCACAGTATAAAAACGGTTAAAGAACATTAATTACGAAAGCCTATACACGATTACCATTGAGTTTGTTTGTGTATACAACTCCGCGATTGAATTCACAATTAAACACGATCACACAATTATGAAAAGGTTTAAAAACGTTTATGAATAGTGATTCATACTAGTGACACTTACGTACCATCACGTGCAAGCTTTGTCGTGAATAGTACTTTTAGAGAAGAGTAGCAAATGCTCTATGCGTAAGCATAAATCTCTCAAACATCTCATTGACCATTTACATTAATTTGAATTTAGAAAATCGGTGTTTTATATAAATTAGCTTCGACCCGTTTGAGGATTAAGTTTGCGTTGAAGAAATCGCGAGCGTAGATATGGCAGTGGCGAGAATTTCCCGCCAAAAACGCTATGCTATGGAGGCGATTGCTGAGATCTCCGCTGAGGTTCGGGGGTGTAATGCAAGAGTCGTGTATACAAATGCTGAGGACTTCCAGGTACAGAGCTGCTTTCAGACAAGCGACGAGGAGGTGGCACTGGTGGCGAAGGCGAAACGTATCTGTAGATGAAACAGCAGTTCATAAGACGTCAATTTAAATTCTTGGTATTGATAAGAATAAAATAATCATAGAGTTGCAAAACGATTCTTTACCTTCGAGGGAAGAAAGGAGAGGCCTGCTCGCTGACGTTTCTCCTCAGAAGCAGTGGCGAATCGACGCGATTGAACCTAGGAGGTGGTTCTGGGGAAGCCTCGCGATCGCTGCCAATCCTCAGGCGCATGTAACCAGCAAAGCGCTTTTTAGCTGACTCCTTGCTGGCCAGGTGTGCCTGTTGAGACATCATACTCGGTGTCGGTGGCGGTTCTTGCTTCATTTGATGAGCAAATCTCGAAAGCAAAAGCTGAGGACTGGGCGTGTTACGCTGCATCTGTTGGTCGTGTTGCTGCTGCTGATGACAAAGCGGTTCTGAGGTGTACCTATTATCAAAATATATGTGATTACATTTACATGAGTACATAGAGTGTATGGGTGTGCTAACTGCGAGAAGAATGATCAGTCAATGATTTTGAATATCTGTTCACATTGCAACGCTTCAGAGGTATTTAAATAAAGTATAAATGAAGTTAACTTACAGGGAGGCTACATGAGTTGTTGGTCACCAAATGTCCTGAACATTATGCGTCAGTAGATTTTAAAAAATGTTCAGAAAATTCGGTGACCCGTATCGCATCTTATGTGATCTCCTTGTCAGTGACTATTTCATTTCTTTGATATTTTAATAGTACCTTTTCCTGCTCATTATCGGACTAGCATAAGCGTCGTTCCTGTTGACTTGCATGACGTGAGCCACGGCGGGATGTATCCTGGGTTGCTGCTGCTGCTGTTGTTGATAGTGATGCTGTGTCTGCTGAGAAATTCTCGGTTGATGCACTGGCGTTACGTGGTATCTCTCGCTCGCGGCTGGCAGCTGTATAACCGGGGGATCGACGTTCTCTCGCCTCCAAGGCGAGTAATCTCGGGCGAAGGGGCTGAGCGAACGCGGACCCGTGTGCTGATGCTGCATCCACCTGTCTCTGCTGCTTTCTCTTCGACAGCCACTGCTGGTGATGCTGCTACTGTAGTAAGGCGAGTAAGGTCGAGCCTCGGCGTCGGTCAAGCTCGTTACGCCGGAATAAGGCGAGTAAGGTCTCGACGCCGTCGTCGTCGCGTCGCAGGAGTCTTCCGAAGCTTGCAAGCGACACGACGCTGGCGAGTAGGAGCGTTGAAGGTTGCTCAACACTTGACCCGAGGCCGGCGAATAAGGTCGCGTGATCATGTCTCGTCGGCGCAGCGCGTAAGGACTGTACGGAATGTAGCCGCTGTTGATTTCTGGCTGTTGCATCAATGTGCTTCGCGGCGTGGCGCTCGACGTATTTGGCTCTTTTGGAGCTGTGCTCTGCTGTTGCACTTGTTGTCGTAACTGTTGCTTCAACAAGGTCGATTGCTTCAACGAGACGTGACCGTTGCCTGGTTGAAACTGCTTCTGTTGCTGTAATTGCTGATCTGGTTGATACTGCCGCTGAGCTTGTTCAGAAGGTCCTCTGAAACTGAGCCATTATGATAACATGAATATTTGTCAAATAAGTGCACGGGATAATTCATCGATGCTCAGGGCTCTATTTGAAAGTTGATAATTTTTTCAATCACATGAAGGAGGAGCCCTGAGTAACGATTAATTTCAACTGTTGACACGTTACATTGTCGCACCCACTGAAAAGCAGAAAAAAGTCCCATCGCTGATTGCAATGGGACTTGTATATGGTTGTTAGTCGATTAAGGAATGTTAAACTCGTTTTATCATGCAACACATAAAGGATGTTTATTATGTATCCCATAATGCAAATAGACGGGAGAGCTTGTATTGAAGCATTTGTGCGTGTCAGACATAGGCTGTATCGCGTTTACATAAACAAGCCCATGGATAAATGTGCTCTTGTGCCAGGATGTGTATGTTTAGAGAGTGTAATCCAACATTCAAGCGAATTCTCACGATAAAACACCTTGCGCTCGTGTCGCGCAACACCTTCGTTCATGATATATACGTTTTATAGGCTTGCTTGCATATAAATTACAGAAGTATAACGTCTGCAGACAAAAATGAGGTAAGCACAAAATAAAGAACATGATGCTTAAACGAAATAATTTATTAGAGAGTAAGTCATAATATTATGACAAACCAAAGAAAAAAATAAGTATGAGTGTAGAGAAAAATAAAAAAGTTTTTTTTTTTGTTTCAAATAAATAAAATAAATAATGCTTACCATGAAGGGGGGGTCGAGGGTGGGATGTGTTACAGGCACGTGCACAAACCAAACAACTCGAAATGAAAATTGGAACAGTTTGTTTTTGTTTTGTCTGTTTTTTTTTTGCTTATCTATCGTAGGTGTACTTTCTCACATGAGAAATGCGTTTCATATATTGTTTTTTGTCGATGTGTGTATTATACACAATTCTGCGTCGCTCGCTCGTTCGTTTAGTTTTTTTTTTTAAGAATATTGTTTCAGGAGCTGTTCTTCAGAATTTAAGTGGTGAGTGATGACAATATTGCAGGCAGTGATCATTTATATAAGGATAAAAGTGGGAAAAGTGGGAAATGTACATCAGGGAAAGTGAGTGGATTGAATGGAAACGGATGCATAATGGTTACTACGATGCACTGTCTCCCTCATCGAACTCAACGCTGCAACACAATTGGTAACACGCACGCAAACTTTTAATTGGAGCTGATTATTAATTGTAGACGTACCTAGCACTAGAGATACAAAAACAAAAAAAAACATATCGGTTTTACCAAACAAAAAATTGAATAAGAAAAAAAATCATTACATTTACCTTTACTTCAATACAGCTTTTTAAAACTGTTTGGACAAAAAGTTTGCCAAGAAAAAAAATTTTTAAAAAATACTTCATTTCTAATAGTCAAAAAAAATCTGGTGATAAAATTAAAAAAAATTATCTTTCAATGATTAAAAATTAAATTCTAAAAATTATAGTTATTGAGTACCATGAAAAACATACAAACATTTATTTACTTTTTATATACAATCAAGGCAATCAGTAAAAAGAAATTTTATTTACTTCAAGTTAGAAATTATATTTGATAAGTTTTTTTAGCTAATGTGAATTAAATGTTACATACTATTATATTAGTTAGACACCATGCTATGTGTTTTATGGTATTCAATTATTTGATTAAAATATAGTGCAATTAACAATATATAAACAATATTAAAATAACCCAACAAAAATTTAAAATACACTCAATAGGAAGAAATTTCTATAAATTGTAAATACTCAAATATCATAATTTTAATTTGATATAGAAAGTAAATAGTGGATGAATCTACTTTAAAACAAATTTCAAGAAAATGTCAAATTTAAAGTTAAATAATAGATATCTGGTAAACTTACTTTGGTTCAAGTTTTCGCATGGTTTGAAAGAACCAATGACATCCAGGTGAAATTGATGGAAGCATACTTTCTTGGGCTTCATATTTTTTAATAAATGGATGTTCCAATAATTTATTATACTTTGGTCGTTGCTTATAATTTTTAGTAAGACAACAACTGACAAAATTATGAAATTCTGGTGAAAACATAGGAGGATTGCAAGGCAAAGTTGGAGGATCATCTTGAACAACCCTGCTCAGAACCTGTTTCAATAATTTCAATTGAAATTTTTGTTTCTATTTCTAATTATTTGACAGTAAAATAATTACAAACCTCAAAATCAGTCTTGCAATCTCTGTAAGGAAATACTCCAGTGGCTAATTCTACTAATGTAATACCTAGACTCCAAACATCCGCTCTGATGTCATAATCAGGTTTGGTAGGATCTGGAGGATCTATCCGTTCAGGCTGAAAAGTATACGATTTCCAGGTATATTATTTTTAGATTTAAATCTAATAAATAACTTGCATATATCGATAACGGTAATGACGTCATATAAAAAAAAACTCACTGCCATATATGCTGCACAACCAGCACTCCTTGTTTTTGCTTTACTATCAACTAATCGACCAGATATACCAAAATCACATAGTTTTACACCTCCACATTCATCCAGCAAAATATTGCTGGGTTTTACATCTCTATGAATAACTCCATGTTTTTCTTTCAGGTACGATAAGGCTTTCACCGTCTATAAAACATGATAATGATAATGATGATTAAAATTATCTTTAAGAAAATTATAAATTGAATTATTATTCTACTCACAGCTACTGTAACTTTTCCTAAAAAGTCTTCAGGGATAGCCTGTCTACACCTTTTTAATAATTTATCCAGACACGTCACCATAAGTTCCATGCAGATCCACACATCTGAATCAGTTATAAAACAACCAAAACATTGAACAATGTATGGACAGTCATGTGATTTAAGCACTACATCTAAATCCATGATTATCCTTTTGTTTTCCTCAACATTGCCAGACCTCCTCATCTGTTTTACAGCTATAACAACTCCGCTGGGCTTATGTCTCATTTTCACCACATGACCACAAGTGCCATTACCCAATTCTCCCAAATGTTCCAAATCATCCATTTTCGTGTGATATTTTTGACCATTAATGGTGAGTATACCGCTCATTTTCATGATATCTGACATTTTTGATTCAGCTTCGTTTACGTTCTTTTTGTACTCTGATGGCAAAAACGACCCTGATAGTGGCAAGTCCAGTTGCCTCCTCGATTTTGTGGGAGTTCCGATATCGCCCACTAAAACAAAAATCGAATATTAGATTTCTTCGATATTTGAAAAAAAAGAACGCGCTTCGCAAACGTTCGAATCAGTTGAATAAAAAAGCGTTAACGATCGGAATGTTCGAACAACTCATTTGTTGTTCATCTCGATGTAGTTAGTTCATATGTTTCAAATCCATCATTGTGAAAATATTATAAATATATATTTTTTTAAAATAAAGTGTTCAATTGTCAATAGTTAACAATGTTTTTTGAATTAAAAACGCAGTTCATAAGAAAAAGTTGTTTCTCGGTGCATCGACTAACCGAAGACATCAACATAACCTGTTGTGCCAAGCCAATAATCGCAATGCACCTGATCATGGCATGTATGTATACACATATCTATAATATCAAGCAATAACATCATTTATCATGCAAAAATTATAAAACGATCGTCCGGCCGCGTCGAGAGCTACACATTATAGCCGAGTGCATCGTAAGATCATCGTACATTGTTTGGGCCTTGGGCGGGCGGGACTCATGACCAAGGGGTTGGGTTGTTGTCGTTGCTGAATCTGCTGCGGTAGCTGCTGAATATTGCTGCAAACGTTTTCCGACTGCAGTTGCTGCGGCCTTTCCTTTTGCTCGCGTAGCTTCTCTTGCAGGCTCATGATCTTTTTCTCCAGATTATTCGACGACATGACTGCACTGCACACACAAGAGGCCGAGCGACGACGAAGACGACGACGGGGACGACGAGGTTTACATGTAGCCTTGTTTATTATTAAATATTTTTCTCGTACTGCACTGACGATACTTTCAATTAATTATTTATTTTATCGATAGACCACAAGACGAGGCGCCGTCCTCTTGTACGATCCGCGAACGCGACACGATAATAATTCGCGCATCACCGTTCTGCCATCGGTTATTATATTATTATAATGCACTCGCGGATCGATCGTGTGTGTTAGTGGCCTGCACAGTGGCAGCGGCGATAATATTACGCGATACTATATAATTGGGCACGTGTACTCGCGGGATTATCGCGTGCTGTGTGTGGCCACCAGCTTCCTCCCGTCTACATATAATGTGTGTAGGCGCGTCGTAATTATGAAAGCCGCGACGTCGTGCAAAAAGAAATTGCAGCAGCAGCTAACAGTGGCAGGCAGCGCACGTATCCGATTCTGGGTGTCGTCGCACACGATTGCTCCCGAGCGAGACTGGCAATGCTGCTCTATACGGAGCAAAAATTTTGTATACGCATAACTACAGTGTTATATAGCCGCACAGTTCCCCGCAGACATGTATATATGCGTCTTCTATCTCTTTCTCCTGTCTCTCTCTTTCTCTCTCTTACCAGTTATTACCACACACTCTTCGCATCGTGTGTAAAATACAATACACACATATAAAGTCGGAAGAGAGAGTGAGAGAGACAACTGCGAATAACAGAGAATATGGACAGTGCCGCGGCAGACAGACAATCCTCTCTCTCTCTCGCCCGCGCGCACTTGCTATCTTTTTCGCACTCCAGGGCTACTTTGTATCATAGTCTCTTCTCTCTCTCTCTCTCGAGGACTCGATCACTCGACTCTCTTGCTCCGTCTCTTTCTTTTGCACGCGTGCATCCGCACCAAAGCTGCGCCCCGCGAGTGTGGAAAGCTTGCGCGCGCGAACGACTCGAGCAAGCGAAAACCTGCTTACGCTATGCAATCGGTATGTTTTTCTCTTTTTGGCATTTTAATATCGATGACACGTCGCACGTGAATTTTATTCTCTTATCGTGTACAACAACACGCCCGAATGCAACCGAGAGTCAAGTTCACCGCTTGCTTGATTCTTTTTTATTCGAGGTGAAACGGCTTACTCTCGGCAAAATTAGAAATGATTTAGGGGTCTGCGTGCGGAGTTTGAAGGGGCTCGAAGATGCGCGGCTCTAAGCTGCAGCTTTTCCCCGAGCTTTGCGCGATAAATATGAGGGAAGGTCGCTTTGACAAGAAGCTTTTGGGATTTTTCTTTTTCACGCGACCATGCACACGACGATTTTTATATAATTCTCGAGGATATTGATTGCAATGCGTATTGATTTATAAAATCAAATTAATCAAAGAATTAAAAGGTGAAAGCTATTTTTTTATTCACTTTTTTTGAGGTTTTCGTCACAATAATTTTAAAATAACTTCTAAAAATATCTGTAAACATTATCGACTAATTTATAGTACAAAAACAATTCATTTTTTTTTTCATAAATATAATCACTTTCTTTTGAAAAAGGTGAATTGGCTATTATTTTAATGAAAAAATAGATGGAATTCATTGCTGCATTACTGCTGAACGGCAGCATTGGCAGCTATACTTGGATTATTGATAATTTCACCCAAACTATCCAGCAGTTCTTTCCTGTAGTCGTCGAAATCACCATCATTTTCATAGATTCCTTGGTCTTCCATAACGTACAACTGACATTCAGTCTCGCGGATAAGTCGCTCGTCGTGAGAAACTATAACTACACCACCTTGATACCTAGTAATGGCATCGGCTAAGGCATCGATGGATTCAATGTCCAAGTTATTTGTAGGCTCGTCGAGAATCAAAACGTCGGGAGCATTGAGGCACAACTCGGCCAGAGCTACGCGCGCCTTTTGACCTCCAGAAAGATCTTTCATTTTGATGGTGTGTGCATGAGAACTCAGGCCAAAAGTTCCCAACTGCTTTCTAGCTTTCTCATATTGGAGATCAAAGAGACGAATTAAGTAATCTGTGGGACTCTCTTCAGCTGTCAAATGTTCACCAGAGTGCTGGTCGAATCTTCCTATTCTCTATATGATTGATAAATAAAAATTATTAGAATTGAAAAATTATTGCTGTTTTTTAAAGTTTTATTTTAAATTAGCTTACCAGTCTATGATTTCTGATTAACTCTCCAGAAGTTGGTGTCAATTCACCAACTAATAATTTCAAAAATGTAGTTTTGCCAACTCCATTAGGTCCAACAATAGCAATACGAGAACTCAGATCAATACCAAAGTTAACGTCAACGAACAAAGGTTTATGACCAGGATAAGCAAATGTAACATCTAAAAAAAATAAATTGTATTAGCTCCAAAATAAGGTGGTGAGAAATAAATAAGAAATACAAACTTACCATGAAGACCAAGAATTGGAGGTTGTAGTGGTGGAGGATCTGGGAAACTAAACTTGACAATATATTCTCTTGGTTTTTGTAAAAGTTCTGTGGGCCCTGTACTTTCTTCTGTTTTTTGTAACTTAGACTTATTTTTTTCTTGCTTTCTAGTGAGTGCTTCTTTTTGTTTTTTCTCTGCTTGTTTCTTACTTTGACCATGAGCCTTTGCATTTTTGATAGCTTTTTCTTGTTGTTCATATGCTTTTGCCTGTTCTTTCACTTTTTGCACATGCATTTTTTTGAACATACTGTAATTGCCTTTATAATAGAACAATTTCTGCTGATCTAAGTGAATAATATCTGTACAAACATTATCTAAGAAACTTTGGTCGTGAGATACAACTAATAAAGTTTTCTTCCAACCCTGCAAATAATTGTCTAACCAAATTACAGCATTTAAATCCAAGTGATTAGTAGGTTCATCAAGTAACAACAGAGTTGGCTCGAGGAAAAGAGCTCTAGCTAAAGAAACACGCATTCTCCAGCCACCAGAAAAATTTTTAGTTGCTCTGTCTTGCATCTCTTTACTGAATCCTAAACCAGCAAGGATTCTTCTAGCTCTTGGTTCTGCTGAATCAGCTCCCATAGCTTTCAATTCTTCATATACCTCTTGCAACCTATCTTGAACTGTTGTATCTCCTTTTTCAACTTTTTCTTCTAACTCTTTACATTCATCTTTCAACTTATTACACTTTACATCAGCTTTCAATACTACTTGTACAGCTGGTGTATCATCAGCAACAACCTCTTGTTCACACAACAAAACATCTATGGTTGGTGGAATTTTGAATTTATGTTCAGCAATATGACGAAGCAATGTTGTTTTGCCATGCCTGTTTTATAAATAAAAGTAAATATTGTATTAATTTTTTTTCACACTCTTGCTAAGAACATATAATTCAACTTACCCATTAGGTCCAACAAGACCATATCGTCTTCCTTGAGCAATAAGGAGATTTGCATTAGTAAATAGATCCTTGCCTTTTGCAGAGATTGTGAAACTCTCTACTTTTATATCAACAGCATGCTCTAGCTGCTGTCCACCACGATTTTGCGTTGAACTTTGTGAAATAGTGAAATTCGAATCAAGTTCACTTTGTCCATCGCCACCTTTTTTGGTTAGAGCTTCGAGTGCTTTTTCGTAATCTTCCTTCTTTTTCAACTTTTTCTTTTCTTTATTGGTAAGCTTCTTTTTACTAGTTGTTTCAATTTGAAGCTCTTCGACTCCTTGCTCTAAATCTGACATTTTGATAGATTAAAAGAAAAACTTTTATAAAATTATCGTTCAACAACGTGCAAAGTTGAACATGCGGTCCTGCTTAGCTATCCCTCACAGATGGTGTGTAGCTTCCTTGTATTTGAAGTCGACTTTAAACATGTGTTAGGTTATGGATACTAGCAGAAATCAGGTTTTAATGCTGCGCACTCGCACCCGCGAAAATCGAAAATTGTTTGACAAAATCAAACTCATACTTTTATTGACCGATACATTTTGATTTTTAATAGGCTTTGATAGAACTTACAAAATCTCTTTTTTCAACTTAAAAAGTTATGCAAATAATTTTTATTTTGTTCTTTACATTGCCTCGAACCTTTGAGAAAATTTTAACTTCATTCGAATTAATTAAATTACTTTAATAATGCCTATTATAGTTTCATGTTTCAAACATGCGCATTTCTCAAAATTATTATACAATCATTAATAATAATTGTTGCAATCAAATTTTAATACTTTTTTGTTTTTGTAAGTGTCGATTTATTAAATAAAAAATTAGTCAAATCCCTTTATTATATTTTAGCTTTGTATAGTTCATAATAACGTATAATATTATTTATGGAATGTTTTATTCATGTGATAATAATTCAATTAAAATCGACTGACTATGCAAGTTTCGATGAATACAAGTGTCTGAGTGTCACTGACAGACATCGGGTATCGTTGATCTGTCGTCCGCAAATCGTGAATGACGGTGTGGCGCTGCATGTTCACTGACAACTCACCACAACAATCACAACTTCACCAGTGTAATACAGTGCGGTGCTTCGTCGATTATCAATCTTGCGTGCCGCGCGGAGTACTGCTTATTTACTCTCAAAGTTGACTCGATAGTGCAAATAAAATTTTATTTATTAAAATAGTTAAGTGTGAATTGTGAGAAAATTTGTCAAAATGACTGACTTTTTGGCTCCTCCAACGGTGGACCGTGAGGAATATCTCTTGGGGCGACCCATTGATAAACAATTTGAAGAGCTGGTTAAATCTGAAGGAAAACCAAAAAATCATGTTGATCATGGTAAGTTATAACACTAATTACAATTATAATGAAAGAAATGAACTTTCACAAAGATACTTTGAAAATTCCTTCTTAATTGTTAATCACAATAAAAAATACACGTGGAAAAACTTTTGAGGTTAATTTTGTTTATATTTTATTGATGTAGGGTGCCATTTATTTATTTTTCTGAAACGCGAATAAAACTGATAATTTTCGAGTGTAAGACCTTAATTAAATTTACCGTGATCTTTGAAGCACGGAGCTTTTTTTTTCTTGTACACATAACAATTCTTCAAATTCTACTTTGAATATTTATAAATATATTATTAATTTTACAAAATATTATCCATTTTTAGAGGTGATTCCACCATCATTAAGAAATTTTTCTGGTGATGATCAAGTCGATCTTCATAGGAAATTGCAAGAAGATCCTTTAATGGCCATTAAAAAAAAACAGATGGAATCTCGAGCACAATTGCTAAAGAATCCAGTAAAACTTCAACAGTTGGTAATTTATAATATCATATCTTTTGTTCCTATTATTAATTTTGGCATAACAAAAAATTAAAACTTATTTACTTTTTAGGTTGGCAAAAGAAAAATTAATGAAAGAGGAAAAAGCGAAAATGAACAAAATGTTAAAAAAGAGTCAAATTATGAAGAAGAAATCATGAATATGATAAAAATAAAAATCCAGTATTTAGGAAAGAATAAATATTTACCCCTCATGGAAAAAGCACAATTAAGATTGAGAGCAGCGATTAGAAATGGAAAAACTCCTAGCACAACTGAAGAAAGCAGTAGTGAGGATTCTGATAGACATAAAAAAGAAAAACATAAAAAAGCTAAAAAGAATCAAAAAAAGAAGTATGCAAGCAGTGAAAGTGATAGTTCAGTGGAAAGGGACACTCGTAAGAGTCGTTCTAAAGTTAAAAAGAATCATAAAAAGAAATATTTAAGCAGTGACAGTGATAGTTCCATGGAAAGGGATACTCATAAGAGTCGTTCTAAAGTTAAAAAAAGTCACAGAAAAAAAAATTCAAGCAGTGACAGTGATAGTTCAGTCGAAAGAGACACTCATAAGAATCGTTCCAAAGTTAAAAAGAGTCACAGAAAAAAAAATTCAAGCAGTGACAGTGATAGTTCAGTGGAAAAAAACACTCATAAGAGTCGTTCCAAAGTTAAGAAGAGTCATAGAAAAAAATATACAAGCAGTGACACTGATAGTTCAACAGATAGAGATGCTCGTAAAAGTAGTACAAAAGCTAAAAAAAGCCACAAAAGAAAATACTCTAGCAGTGATAGTAGTAGTACAACTGATGACTCTAATAGCAACAGTGATGATGTCAGGAAAACTAAAAAAACTGAAAAAAAAGTCAAAAAACATTCTAAGGAACCAGAAAAACACTCAAATAAAAAGAAGCGTACTAATACTCTTAATGGCAGTGATGATGATGCAGAAAAATATACTGAAAGTAAGTCTGACAGAAATAAAAAGTATGGAAAAAGTGACAAATACAGCAGTAGGCATACAGAAAGTACTAATTGGGATAGCAAAGATGATTATTATCATAGAAAAGATGATAGACATTCAAGTAAGCATGATTTTAAGTACAAACAGTCAGATTCCAAAAATGATACCAACCGTTATAATAGAACTGAAGACTATCATAAAAAAGACGAAAAAAAATTAAATAAATATGATAATAAGTATAAGTCATCAGACTACAGCAGTAGAAAAGATAGTGATCATTATTCTAGCCATAAAGAAAAAAATAAACTGACGGAGAATCAAAAATACGAAGACAAGATGCGCAGCAGGGATAAAGATGATGGAAAAAATGAAAATAATCAAGACTATATTGATAATTCTCCTGGAAGAACTAATTTAGTAAGAAATTATGGTTTGATGGTAAGTCAAAATTGTTTTATTTTAAACTTTACAAATTTTAAACCAACTTTATTTACATCCTACTTTACCAATTTTAGAAACCCGATGGTACAAAATTAGATATATCCAATGAGCCCTCCCCAAAAACAGAACGTCAAACTGAAAAAAGGCAATCTTCTTACACTGCTGTATCAAAAGACATGAGACCTCCCATGAAGAAACGAATGAAATTGACAGAAGAAGAAAAAGAACGAAAACGCCAAGAGATGTTGGATAATGCAACTCAGTATGATAAAAAACGAGCTCAAGCTGTTAAAAAATTCACAGAGGAGGAGCAAAAAGAACAAAGTATTCATGAAAAACCTTACGATAAGGATTTCATCATGTAAGTTTACATTTACTTTTCATCTCATTCATTAATATGTATAATTATATATATAAGTATTACCACAGATATTAATTTTCCACTTAATTTTTCAGAAAAAATTTAGCAAAAGTTTCAAACAGTGAAACTGTGGCTTCCAGAATTAAATCAAATGTACATAACATTCAGAGGAATAAGTCCAGTATGGATTCGAATTTTGCGAGAAGATAATCAATGCCTTATCTTCATGAATAAATATTAATGTGAATATTTTCCGGAATGTATATTTTCAATTATTACAGAATAAATAGTTTTTGTAATTAAATGATTAATGTTTTTCATGTTTGATTATGTTGCTTTCATTGTTTCTTTTAAAAAAAAAGGATTGCTTTTTATATAAAATTATTTATTTTTTCTTTAGTAATACAATCTCGAAGTATATCTTTTTAAACAACTGATAAATTATATTTATCAAATAACAATAACATAACTGCAAATTGACAGCCAGTAAAGCTAATATAGTTTTCAAGAAATAACGCATACTTCGTTGGTTTCAATGGCATCGTGCGATTCAGAAATATTGGTAACACAATCGCCTGTTAACACATTATTAACTACTGCCCGGGCTAAATAACTTGTGGTTAACGAGTAATTGGCAGAAAAGAAACTTGTCATGTCCAAAGTCTTTTCCACGTTATTATCCTACAAAATATTGATAAAACGGAGTGAACTTTGTGAATTTTAAAGAATTTTTAAGAATTTTTAAGAATGAATTTACCTTGCAAAATATAATGAACGCATCGTCAACCAATTTGTTCAAATTCAGTTGTTTTTGAAAAGTTAACTCAGGATTCCTTAGTAAAATAGTCGATACGATGTTGAGAAGCTGTGATTTAAGGAATTATTAGTATCATCAGTATTAACGGAGTTACAATGAGTAAAATATGTATACCTCGACAACAATTTGGCGATATTCTGGAATATGTATGTGATGAAGGGTCGACTCGACGAGAAGTGCGAACGTCAATTCAGATCTCGTCATGCTCGAAAGCGTCGGCTGTTGCGGTATTTCGCGATCGTTCACTCGTATGCCGCCTGGACATCTTTCTAGTACCTCCCACACTTGATTATAGAAGTGCGTTGGGACTCTACACAGGCTACCCTCGATTTTTCTTCTGCCCAGAATGGATAATCTGAAACAATCGGATTTTAAAATGATTTCATTTTTTAGTAGTTTCACTAGTATTTTCTTAGGGGAATACACTCACTCTTCATCCTCAGCCCATTCCTTCACAGTAAGCACTTTAATAAGTAGCTGACGAGCTTTGTAAGGGCTATAGTCTTCGATGGGTTTAGTGGTCATTCCCATAATCTGAAGATAAATATTCATGGCCTCCAAAACCCATCCGATTCGTATCTTCAAAATACCCTTGAACATTTCGGGATTAGTTCCGATCAGTCGACCGCAATAGAGCAGTATCTCCTGTTGTAGTACGGCCTGCACGACGTTGTGCGGTTGTATGGTATTGTACATGACGGCCTGTATCTCGGCTGGCGTCATGGGCTTGTCGAATACAGTTTCTTCGTGGCCAATGACGCCCACGGTGATCTATGAAAAGCCCAGACGTGTAAATATTCCAATTCGAAAGACGGTTCTACGAGATTCACCTGTTTTCCTTTGACCAAGACTCCGGTGATGAAGGGACTTATACTGTCGACCGTGTGGTTGAGCAAACTGCTGCAGTATCTCACGCCCATCCAAAAGCGCAAGCTACCAGCTTGCTGATATAGACTTCTCAGAGTTTCACCGACTAAATTACCATTGATTTCGTAATTTTCACCCTCGCGTTGCAAGAGTATACCGTACAGCTGGCACTTGGCGTACAATCCGGCTGCGTTTCTGATCGCGTTGATGATATTCGGAGTCGACTCGTTCTTGAAGTTCTAAAAAAAAAAACAACAAAAGAGTTTGCTGTGCTATGGGTACTTCATTGCAAGACCAACGAAGTTGAGCTTACGGAAAGGTCTCTGGTCTGTTCGTCGTACGACAGAGCCTTGGGTACGTCTGTCAAGCTTTGATAACCGATGTAGTCATGTTCCAACTGCTTGAATTGCCTCAGCTCTATGTCCGTTTCCATACTGTTTATGAAATCCAAGTGCTCTGGTAACACAGAATTTTATCATGAGACTTTCGTTCGTATTAAATTTTGGTGAAGCTTTTACCAATGCAGGACGAGGATATGAGATTCTGCAGTCGACCTATTCGTACTTTGGTTCCATCGCAGTAGCCTTTTTTCAGCATAGCGAAAAGATCGAGCATCTCTTTGAACTGTGGATCCCTGAATTAAGATTTGAATTTGAATAGAGATTACCTAGCACTACTTAGCAGACTGAAAGTTAATAGTGCAAACCTCATGTGCTCCTCCCGTATGAGAAGGCATACGGTAGGTCTACCGGAAAGTCTCCAGTACTTTCCAACAAATTGAAGTTCCGTTTTGATGTCGTCAATAAGTAGAGCCATGTCTCGGTACAGATAGAATTCCGATACTTCGAATATGAGGGGATAACAAAGTACAGTCATGCCGCAAACTCTGTAAATCTTTGCAAAAAAGTCATCCCATCTCGTGTGTTCATAATGCAAGCTCCTTTTCTATCCCTCGATTTACCTTACTGGTGCCCAAAGAACCAATAGGTCGAGCTGGTCGCCCCTCTAATCCTAATTTTTCATTGACACCCAAACTCTGGTAAACTTTGACCAATTGAGTAGATGAGAGTATTTGAACAGGTTCAACTTCGTGAGGCGTTTGAGTCTGAATTCCGTAAGTTGCCATCATGGCTTGAAGTCTCATGGATTCAGCGATTAGTACGATTTGAACGACCAAATCGGTATGAGTGCCCTTTAAAAAAAAATTATATTTTAAGGACTATTTAAAAAAATGTGTGCTGTTTTGAATAAGCGTATTCGAAGCAGCTCACAACACCCTCAGTTAAAAATGTGAAAAAGTTCAAAGTTTGTGCCTAGAGTAAAAGATAAGAGCTAAAAAAAAGCAAATGTAATAAAAGGTATAGCATAGAATGAGTAATACATGGAAAAATAGATGTTTTTTAATCACAAAAGGCAACACTAAGTATAGCGTAGACACACAATATTACTTACGCTGTTTAGTTTTACCTGACAGGAATGTGGAACAAAAGTAAGGGAATTATGCTTTTATTTTGTGATTTTTATCCTACATCTAAAAAGTGTATTCACGATATTAGTGGACAATTATAATGATGTACGTTATAAACGAAGACAAAACTCAGATCTCGACTATTGCGAGAAAAGACAAATGCTCACTTGGAAAGCCGAGTAACGCCCCGCCTTTCTGGGCCGATTGTACGAGGGCAGATATCGACGAATCGGATCGAGCTCGTTGATGTGCAGCAGATTGGCAGTGAGCAATTGAGCTATGACGAACATCGCCTGGTTCCACAGGTAGATTGGGGTGTCTTCACCTCCTCGTTGAGGCCGACCAATGCGGCTCGGTTGTTTCGCCATCGTACCCGGATCGGCTTTCTCCATCTCGATGCTCTCCTTGGGTACGTAATAATACGCCGGTATGATTGGATCTGTTTGATCGTATGTTTTTTATTTTTAATGAAAATACTTAACGCATGGAGTTATGAGTATTACCTCCGTAAGCGTCTTTTGATAATCGATCTTTTAACAATCGTTGATATTCTTCCACTTGCTCCGGTAGGGTATTGAAAACTCCATCGATAATCATGAAAATGTAAAAAATCGGCCATTCGCATTCTATGTGATCGTAATCCTAAAAATAATAAAACTCAGTGATCGATGGAAATAACAATTTCACAATTAATTACATACTTTAATTTCACCAGGTTTATAATAGCGTCTCTCAGGATCTTCTATAACAGTCTTGAATCCATCACGTCCAAATCTTTTAAAACCATAGTTTCCTTGCAATCTTCTGAGAATATTAGCTTTGGTTTCGGTGTATAATACTTCTTCGTGAGTAGCAAAAGCAGGAAATGAAATGGTTGGCAGCAAAGAGGCATCGACGCTCTGGGTAAATGAAAATTCAGTTCTAGAAAAATTAAAACGCTAGTATTGCAAAAATCGTTCTTACTTTGGAGCTAGATTCTCTGGGCAACATAGTTTCGAAAATGCAACGATTACGATTGTGCGCGTCGATATCGACGTATATGACCGACCAGGATGCTCCTTTTTCACCAAACAAATTGCATCCATTGATGGCTTCCAGTGCACTTTTGGCCATGCCAATAGAGCTTGCATGGATTTCTGGTGTTCCATCATTGTAACGACTGCCTCTTTCCCACATTCCAAAATCAGGTGTACGATAAGCTCTTTCTACATAGTACACCAAGTTTTGAATGAATGCTACCTCATCTTGAGTATAAATTATTTGAAGTCCAGATGATATCATTTGGACCAGAAATATAAGGTACAATGATACAACATCTATCTGAAAAAATAAACAGTCAAATCAGTTTAAAGCAGAGTGACAAATAAACATTTCACTTACTTGTAAATGATTGTAATCCTCATCTCTAAATATTTCTTCTCCTGTATCTAGATGAAATTTGCAATGCAAAGCATATCGATTGGACTGATTTTTCTTAAAAAGTTCCACGCGGGCTGATTGTTTCATCCAGCATTCTAAGATACCTCTCATACATTTAATGGCTGATTGTCCCAACTCGTATGATTTTCCTCTATCATCATCTATTCTCCTAAAATATATATTTTATATTTCTAATTGCATACAGAAAAAAAATCTTTTTTATCAAAATTTAAATAAGTACCTGTAAGCCTGGTATAAACTCCAGATGGCTGCTGCACAATATATACTTTCTCTGATGCTTCCTACTTTTTTTTCATCTGATACTTGTGGAAAAAGCCCTGTTATACAACTTTGGTAGTGTAGAATTTGCCTTTTGACTATTAGGACATTAACAATAGAGTTAATTAGAGAAAGTGCTCTAAAATAGGTAAATTAGTAATTATAACACTTACCAATGCCATAATATATATCAAGTTGCCTGACGGTATCTTCATAATTAGATATTTTTAAAAACATGTCTATATCAAAATCAATAACACTGCCTTGTCTGACATTTTTGCTCTGAGCCGGAGACCTGTACAATGAAAAATCCATTTTATTGATAGCAAGCACATTCTTATCTATTAAACAGAGTGATGCTTGAGCTTAGCATAATACGTATAAATCAAACCTCATTGGTGAGCTGTTGGCAGGAGTTGCAATAGTAGCCATGTTAAAGCCCTTGATTGTGTCTGTGTATATCTTTAGTCACAGAGAAGGTTATCGCTCGATTCCTTTTTTTCGTTCAAAACAAACTTCAACTACGACGCTCTTTATTCCGTTGATCATACGAATGTCAAATCACTAGTTGCACTCGGCTTCTGACATATGCACAGGCCGCGGTGTGCGCGACAAATATCAGCGCTCAATATACGTTATTATACAGACGAGTAAGGCAAAAAGGCGAGAAGACAAAGGTGACATTTACCATCGTCCGAGTTATAGTTACTACAATACATGCCGAAACTTTCGGTGCGTTAATTAGACTCTCGCTCGCGCGGCTTCGGGGAGAGTATTTTTATGCACAACACATAAACAGTGACGTCGCGAGTTTACATAACGCGCGGATCGTATTGCGTCTCGACAGCAGACGATGTTTTGGCAAGCGTTCCTAGCAGCATCTTCTTGCTACGAACGTGTACTTGGGATTTTATTAATTGAAATGGATGGATTACTGCAATTGATTGAAGGAAAGACCCTTTTCTTATATTTTTTACCTTCTTATAATGTTTTCATTGTGTATATTGGGAGGCCATGGGGCGAGAGTACAAGTGCACCGATTTATCGATAAAAATCTGTTGACGCGGTGGTCTTCCGAAGCGTCGACAGATGGCGTTTTCGGTGTGACCGCATCGCCGCCTCGGTATCATAACATGGCTGGATCCCCACAACAACAACAACACACCGTGAACTCGCACAAACTCTCGCGGCGCAAACACACAATAAAACCCGTCGAAAGCAAAGCAAAGAATCGGTGTAAACAACGTCATTAAAGAGTCAGAGACGTAGTAAGGCACGACTCGCGTAAAATCGGACTTTCCGTTATATATATTATATTCATTAAAAAGGTATATACACTAAGCCAAAGAGAGCTGAAAAAATAATATAACGACATTATAACGACGATAAGATTCGAAGGAGCGATGATCGTAAAAGTGTCTACTACTTTCTAAGAAGAGCCATTGGCGTGGAAAGATATATCTCGATGTGTATAGTTAGTTAGATTAGCTATATACTACGCGCCAATGGGTCGGAAATTAGACCAATTTCAGAATACCCGCGAAAAGCAATTACCGCGCGGCTAATCGCTCATTATCACTGCTTAACAGAATATTCCTCTGTTCGGCGCGGCTATTGCAACATCATCGCGTCGCGGAGGCGGTGTGCCGTTGTATATTATACCCACAGCCAAGCACAAAACATCACGCGGATATACCATGTAAATATATATACACGATACAGTAGTGTAAAGCGTACCGGCCGGCTCTAGTGGATTTTTTATGCCGGCGAGATTTTTCATATCAACGATATCGACGAGCCCAATCGATTTCTCATGAATTTTATTAATTTCCAGCTGCGGTATCTATCCGCGCATATATCGCACGGATTAAGATACGGAACTGTCGGTTGTGCAGATGAAAGCGATGCGACTGCACACGCATACAAACACGTACACAGACGCACCGCGGAGCACACCGGCCATCGATTTTATCCGTTATATCCGCGCGCGCGTCGAAGCGAAAAAAATTGTATATACGCGACGAACGAATCGAGCGCGTGCTGCGCTGCGTCGATACGCATGGAAAGAAAACCCTTGAAAAGTCATTTTCCTTATAGCGCGCGCGAGCATGTGTATCTGTACCCGCCCGCTGCCATTCTAGATCTATTTTTAACTGTACTTGAAATCGTTGCCCGTGCCCGTGCGCGCTCGCAAGATTAATGGATCGTATAAATTAGGCATTTTGTATGTGCATACAATATACAAAATATAGCTATGTATATATCCGAAGCGCGAGATGCATCCCAGGCGCATATTAATATTGGAAAAAAATATGAATAAATCGGGCGCGAGGAGCAACTAGATATATATACACGCAGAGTCGTAACGGATGAGTAAGACATATATTGCGGACGCATACGCGTATAATAAGGAAAACATTTGGATGCATATAAAGTCGAAGCTCGCTTCTCTATATGCGCTATAGAGCTGTGTGTGCGCGGTGCAATTGCACGCATGAAAGATCGAATTGCGCTTAGGCATATTACGTGTATTATATATGTGGCAGTGATGAGCATTGAGCACTGCTCGTCGTCGACGTCTTTGGGGCCGGGGCTGGGTTTCTAATACGCCGTGTGTGTCGGTGTCAGAGAGGCTCTGGGTGGGTATACACACAACGCGACTCTCGCACACACGTATATATATTTTACACTCGGCTTTGCACGCAGAGAGAGCTTCGAGAGTGAGAGAGAGATATAGCTCTGCACCTCTCGCGCCCTATACACACTCACACTCGCACGCATATATAGCTAGTTGTTACCGACGCATAACGATTTTCTAACGGTATCATATCGTTCTCAGTCCTGAGCATGTGTGTATGTGTATATATACTGCATGTATACATCTCTGCAGCAGAGTTCCCGAAGCGCACAACTCCTCTGTGTACAAGCCTGCCTATACGTGTGTGTGTGCATGTATGAGAATGTATCGCATCGCTCCTCGCGCGCATCGCGATCGCATAAGGTTGTACGGCCGTGCCATACAGCTCGCAATATAAGCGGCTCTTCGTGTGCAATTCTCGTGTGTATAGGAGGATATACTACGAGCTGCAGTCTGTGTGTGTGTTGGCTTTTGGCATAATTTACATTCCATGCACGTCAAAGAGCCCGAGAGCTTCGGGTATAGTCTTCTTCTCCTCCTCCGGCTCTCTCTTTCTCTCTCTCTCGCTCTCACTCACTCACTTGGGCTCTCTTGCAATGGGGCGTGATCGTTTGATTCTAATAAAGAATCGCTCGTTCGCTCGGCTTATGCATGTATACTAGGCTATATAGCGTGCGGTTCTAGCCTAGGCTTACTACCAAAGAGCGCATATGCATAAAAACGTGATCGTAGAGTTCCACGCGCGGCTCTCTCTCTCTCGCTATGTATATGTGCAGCAGCAGCTTCTCGAAGAAATCAGCTCGGCGCGACGTTTTCGCGTGTTTTCCGCATCTTGGCGTTATAATATGCAGCTCTGAATATGTCAGAGAGGAGCAGAAAAACAACAACAACAACGACAGCAACGATGTCGCGTATGCGCGTGTATATCGCCATATCCCTGCCTCTTTTTCTCTCTCTCTCTGCAGATCGGCCCGTATGTACGTTATATATTATTATATTGTGTGGCACACAATAAAGTATGAAATTCTTTACGCGCGCATGTTTCGTATACGTACACAACGACGCACAAGTACACATCGAGCGAAATAATTCAGTCGACTTCACGTGACAAATGATCGCCAGCTCGCCGGCCGGAAAAAATACCGGCTAATGGCATGATTTCATTCGTGTATATGTACTGTGTGCGCATATAATGCAAGAGATAGACTGCGTAGTGCGCGAACGTCGAGTGTGTACGATGAAGCGTACATGCATGTAATGTACGCACACTATTTTTCATATTTATGCGCGCTCGAGACGCTGAGTATTTATATTAAAGACAACCGATGGAAATTCACCGTGCCGCACTGGCGACGTATACACGCTCGCGATGCGTCATATTATCAATGTACTTGCAGCGTACGCGTTCGTATTTTTCGTCAGCGCATTGCGCGATCGACACAAACGTACACAACGATGATCGTCGTCGTCGTCGTCGTCGTCACGCTCGTCGCTAGAGTCTCTCAATGCTCTTATAAGCATTATTATGTATCCGAACTAATCCATTCGATTTTTTACTTTTAATAACGCGGATTCGGTTATCGCGCAACACTTTTTTTGTATTTTCCGGACACGTCGCGTCGACGAAGCGGCTTTATTATAATGACATCTCTAATGCCTTATTTTAACGATCGGAGCCGCTCCGGCAATCGCGATTATAATATAATGTATCGCAGCTCGATCGACAACAGCAGCATATATGCGCGCACACTTTGAATAACAGCTCTCTTATGCGGCCGGGACGATTGATTATGCGTCGATCGGTTAAATCATCGGTATAAAACTCGTTAGTTTCGCGCTCCGCTTGTAATACGAGCTTGAGAAATAGAAAAAAATTCGATAAGGTAGCGCAGTACGTCGTTGTGCTGGAGAAATAATGCTACAGGGAAACATCTGTGTATAGGTTTACACATATACACACACACAAGTGAGTGGCCCGTTCGGCAACATACATTTTATAAGATACGTGTGCGCTATATGCACGTGTGTGTTGTGTGTGTTTGTTGGTGCATTATATACTGTATATATAGGTGGGCTTTCACTCACGCGTATCCTTTCCCTTGATACATGCAGCGATCTAAAAATGTTATGGCTCGAATTCAAATGCACCGGGTATATAATATACAATATAATATATTATATGATACATGCACGTCTTTACGGAATGAGTCGAAATAGTAAAAAGATCGAGGATAAGCAAAAATTATTCATACTTATATGTACGTATGTGCTGGGTGCTATGTGATACAAGGAATTAGATTAGAAATGACTTTCAATTCGGTTTCGAGGCATTGCTGTCAAAATGGGATTTTAATCGTCGTGTGTATAGCTGCTATACGTGTGCGGATGCACGGAAAGCTCGATCGTGTATATAATACGTAAATTATGTATCACGTACGTACGTACGAGCTGAAGCGGCAACGGCGCGTCATTTATGAAAATCACTTGGAAACGCGCGCTGCGATGCAGCAGCATCGGTGCTAGTGCATATCATGCGAGTTAACGCGAATTATAGCGTTCGAATTTTTACGCGAAAAAAATAAACTCATGTGTATACGCGAAGAAAATGCACACGTATACTTGGATATCCTGGTAGCGTGTGTATAATATTCGTATGCGTATCTTCTTCTCTTTAATTGTAATTCGTCAAGAAAATGACACACGCTCACGTGCAGCCGGCCGGTCGTTTATACGATAAAAGGCCCGCGGCTAGCTGAATGTATAAATATCGAGCGAACGAGGATCGTACAAAAAGGAAGAGAGAGAAAAAAAGGAGCGACCGCGGCGCGTTGTTGCCCGCGGAAAAGAAATTCAAGCGGCAGAGCGTCTTGCACGCGCGCGCGATGAGAAAATCTTCTCCTGCCGCGGCCGCGATTTTCCATATGGTTCGCGAGAATCTATATACGGTTGCGCTATACATGCAGCAGCAGCGCCGAGCTCGGCATAGAAACTTATGGGAGTGCACACTGCAGCTGCACACTGCACGCGCGCCACGGCACACTCGGTCAAACTCCCGCAATCGAAAGTCAAACTGCACACATGTACACACACACACAAACAGCACATAGATTTGTGCATATACACATGTGCACTCGGGCTCGACGGAGCGTTACGCTCAACTTGTGCGAGTATATAATAATCTATTGCATCTATATACGTATATGAATGCACACACACGCACATAGACTCGCGAGCGGTCTCTCTTTCTCCGCGTTTTTCTTATATACGAGTGTGTGTGCATGCACGTCGCGGCAATGTATGGGCCGCGCAATTGCGTATATATGTATATCCTAATGGGCCATACGTCGAGCGCGCAAAGAAACAGGCCAAAGGCAAGGCCCAGCTCT